GGTGGTCCCATAATTATTTGGTTTAAATCCGACCATTGGATCATGAAAAAATTGACGATAATCTTAGATTTGTATATGAAAATTTATGTCGGTTGCTGTTGTTGATGCGGCTACAACACCAGACCGGCTAGTTCCTCAATCCTCTATAGGGTCCGTCCATAGGGACAGAGGCGTTAGTTGAGTGGCCTTTAGTGGGCATGCGAAGAGATGTTTCGAGTCGTGGGTGTCTCTCCACATGCCCCACACTTTTTCCTAATGGCAACAACATTTTTTACAACAGTTTCTTTGCTGTCTTAAAAATTACCCATTTTCACTTCGATGGTTTGACGTGGTAGGTACGATATGTACATGCATATGCATATGTACATATCGTCACCTGAAATGCAACAAGTAATTTTTAGCAAAAAAAACCGACTTAAAANAACACGTATTTTTTTGTTGCGACGACTTCGTCAGAACAAAAGTTCGCCAGAATAGACATGCATTGTAACCGTAGCCTTAGTTTGTTACTCGTTATTATCAAAAAAGTAATATTTTAACTTGTTTTCCATTTTGAACTTACCGCAACTACTTGATTTATCTTATTAACCGACTTCAAAAAGAAAAAGGTTATCAATTCTTCGGAATATTTTATTTTTTATGTATGGTATCGCATAGCTTTGGACCACGTTAACCGATTTCTATAATTCTTCTTTTAAAGGAAAGGCGTTACCTCACAGGTGGTCCCATAATTATTTGGTTTAAATCCGACCATTGGATCATGAAAAAATTGACGATAATCTTAGATTTGTATATGAAAATTTATGTCGGTTGCTGTTGTTGATGCGGCTACAACACCAGACCGGCTAGTTCCTCAATCCTCTATAGGGTCCGTCCATAGGGACAGAGGCGTTAGTTGAGTGGCCTTTAGTGGGCATGCGAAGAGATGTTTCGAGTCGTGGGGTGTCTCTCCACATGCCCCACACTTTTTCCTAATGGCAACAACATTTTTTACAACAGTTTCTTTGCTGTCTTAAAAATTACCCATTTTCACTTCGATGGTTTGACATGGTAGGTACGATATGTACATATGCATATGCATGTAACAAGTAATTTTTAGCAAAAAAAACCGACTTAAAAAATATATCTATATATTTCATGATCCAATGATCGGATTTAAACCAAATTAGTATGGGACCACCTCTGAGACACTACCTTTCCATTGCAAAAAGAATTTATAATAAAAAATTATAATAAAAAAAAAACAAAAAAAAAAAAATCCTTTTTTGGAAGTCGGTTAAAAAGACGAAACAAACATCGTCGCTANCATTGCAAAAAGAATTTATAATAAAAAATTATAATAAAAAAAAAACAAAACAAAAAAAAATCCTTTTTTGGAAGTCGGTTAAAAAGACGAAACAAACATCGTCGCTAAAATACAAAAAGTCGTAACTAATAAAATNCTGACGTTTTTTTCGGAACAAAAAATACGAAACAAACACGTATTTTTTTGTTGCGACGACTTCGTCAGAACAAAAGTTCGCCAGAATAGACATGCATTGTAACCGTAGCCTTAGTTTGTTACTCGTTATTATCAAAAAAGTAATATTTTAACTTGTTTTCCATTTTGAACTTACCGCAACTACTTGATTTATCTTATTAACCGACTTCAAAAAGAAAAAGGTTATCAATTCTTCGGAATATTTTATTTTTTATGTATGGTATCGCATAGCTTTGGACCACGTTAACCGATTTCTATAATTCTTCTTTTAAAGGAAAGGTGTTACCTCACAGGTGGTCCCATAATTATTTGGTTTAAATCCGACCATTGGATCATGAAAAAATTGACGATAATCTTAGATTTGTATATGAAAATTTATGTCGGTTGCTGTTGTTGATGCGGCTACAACACCAGACCGGCTAGTTCCTCAATCCTCTATAGGGTCCGTCCATAGGGACAGAGGCGTTAGTTGAGTGGCCTTTAGTGGGCATGCGAAGAGATGTTTCGAGTCGTGGGTGTCTCTCCACATGCCCCACACTTTTTCCTAATGGCAACAACATTTTTTACAACAGTTTCTTTGCTGTCTTAAAAATTACCCATTTTCACTTCGATGGTTTGACATGGTAGGTACGATATGTACATATGCATATGCATGTAACAAGTAATTTTTAGCAAAAAAAACCGACTTAAAAAATATATCTATATATTTCATGATCCAATGATCGCATTTAAACCAAATTAGTATGGGACCACCTCTGAGACACTACCTTTCCATTGCAAAAAGAATTTATATTAAAAAATTATAATAAAAAAAAAACAAAAAAAAAAAAATCCTTTTTTGGAAGTCGGTTAAAAAGACGAAACAAACATCGTCGCTAAAATACAAAAAGTCGTAACTAATAAAAAATTCAAAATTCAGTTTTTGATTGATATGATGGATTTCATCGAATTACAGCTCCCACATATTGTATGAAAAAAATAAAAAATATTAGTCACGACTTTTTCCATTTCAGTCACGATGTTGTTACATCTTTTTGCATTTCAGGTGACGATATGTAATATTCGCACCAGCTCTATGCGAATTATGTATTGTAAGCTTAACCCTCAAATAAACTTTTTACTATTGTTGGCAGCAATTACAGCGTTTACTTTCATAACAAAATTGATATTGCACATTGGATATGGTTTCATCAGCTCAGGGAAATATACTTAAAATAATTAAACGTTTTTGTAGAAGAATTGCAAAAAATGTACCAAGTACCAATAAAATGTCATTATACTAGGAATATGCCTTTTCCAATTACTGAGTATTTGTAATTGTACTGGTACTTGTATTTAGATTTTCCAAATCTGGAGGTGTACTCTACATTGCGATTTGAAAAGCAAATCATTCGGATTCGAAAGCTTCGCACTATAACTTTGGGACTTTTTATTATTCCCTGGTATATTCATATGTTTATCGCTTCCTCCACATTCTCACGCCCTGCTACCAAATCTTGAATATTTCTCAACAGTTTTTTTACATTCAAGTTAGAGATGGGCAAAAGTCGTGCTTTTCTACGTGACACGTCGTGTCACGCTTTTTCACGCGTGAGCGTGAGCGGCTTTCAGTGAAAAATCACGTAATATCAAAAAAAGCTTGTAGGCTATTTTAAACATACCGAACTCAATAAGAAACTATCAAAGTCTTTAAAGCAACATGTTAAGACACGGTGGAACTCGTTATTTATAATGCTGTCAAGCATTCACGAAAGGCGACAAGAAGTTCAACAATTATTAATAGAAAGAAATGAGGTTCATAAACTATCTAAAATAAATGCAAATTTGTTGGAAAAATTGTTAGAATTTCTGGCACCTTTCAAGATGTGTTCTGAAAATTTGAGCGCGGGTTTAAATCCAACCATCCATGAGTACGTTCTGTGGTACAATAAACTACAAAAGCATTGTGAAGTGAATGCATCTGATTCTGAAGTCATCATCGATTTGAAGAAAAACACAGCTGTTGCTTTAAATAAAAGATTCCAACCAAGTTCAATCCATTTTCTGGGATTGTTTTTAAATTCTCCGTTTAAAAAGTTACAGTTTATATCTGCAGAACAGCGCGAACGTATAATAGGGACAGTAAAAGCAATGCTTGAAGATAACTTAGGTAGACATGCACTTGAAGAAAAGAGCGCTCGCCCTCAGCACGATTCCCAAATTCTGGATGATGATATTCCTTCTACCTCGAAAAGGGCAAAAACCCGTGCAACTTTTGACGAATTCAAACATGCGACAAATGAATCTGCAGAAACAGTTTTTGAAGAAATTAATACGGAAATACAGATTTATTTGAACAAATCGGAAAACAAAAGTTGTGACGATGTTTTAAAATTTTGGGAGAAAGCTAAAGATTTGCCCCTTCTTAGAAGTCTTTCAAGGCAAATTTTAAACATACCAGCTAGCTCAGCAACTAGTGAAAGAGTGAAAGAGAAACAAAAATATGAGCTAATAGGTCCATTCAAGATCAAAAAAAATTTACGAATTGTTACTAGTACTTGCAAGTTTTTACTGGAAATGCATTCAATAACAAAAAATATTTGCGAGAGAGCGAATTCGAGAGCGTAACTACCCGAGAGAGCTGCAAACTCTTCCGAGTAAAAATTTTACTAGCAGGAATTTGCAGGAGTCAAAAAGTAAGGTTATGTTTCAATTTCAAACGTAAACATACTGTTGAAGAGGATGATTTGATGAAACATAATTAGTGAAATGAAAATATGGATGTTAATTTTAACCATCATAAAGTGTCAAAATGGATTAAGTTGCAAGTTTTTACTAGTTTTGCGTTCAATAACTTTTTCTGAAAATTTTCTCTTTCTCTCTATTTTACTCTCTATTTTTCTTTTATGCTCTCGTTGCATGTACGTACTGGAAAAGTTATTGAATGGACCTAATGTCATTTTAATATTACATACGTTGAATAAATATTGAAACCAATTCTTTTTTATACTCGTAATAGATACATAAGTATGTATATCTGAAATTTGTTAAAATAATAATAGTGCCTTCAGCCCTTGCTAGGCGTGTGGCCAAGCTTTTGTAATAATACTTGTGTTATAAAAGGCTATTTATATGAAATACTATTTATATAAATAGTTTCAATTTCAAAAAAATGTCCGTGAAAACCGTGCGTGAGCGTGCGTGATTTAAAAAATAGACGTCGTGAGCGTGCGTGAACGTGATTGAAAAAAAATAGCAGGACGTGAGTGTGCGTGATTTAAAAAACCATCAACGTGAGCGTGCGTGAACGTGAGCCAAAATTACTCACGTGCCCATCTCTAATTCAAATATTCAAAATAATAAGCCTAGCCCAGGTACGTCAGGATTTGGAGGAATTTACAGGATGCTATTTCCGTAGGACACCTTACACAAGGTTTATTAGAGGCTTAAAGTGCTTTTCCTGTAAATCCTTTAAACCTGCAAATACTGAAGTACCTGGAACACTTCATGATTTCAAAATTAAGTTTGTATTCATACTCACGTTTCGCATCTGGTATCTCTTTAGTAGGTGACCAAACTAATAAGGCGCGATCGTTAAGACCTTCTGGTTTACGTTCATTTTCTGGTATAAGAGGTGGACATATGGCCTGGTAGTCGCGACCGACACGAATTTTTTCTAGAAATACATTTATACATAAGCCGGGAATGTTTCCAAAGTAAACTTTTTTAAATTTTATCTTACCCTCATATTCGCTCTGTTTATTTTTTGACTTTCCGTTGCGCTTAATGGCTATTAGAAAGATAATTAAAAACGGAAGTCCTATGTACAATTTCTTTATTTTAAAGATCTTATAAATTTCAACTCACAATTATCATCATCGGAACTAGTTTCCGGAGTTCCCGCACCACCAGTACCCCCACTACCAATATTGGAACTCCCGCCTACTGTACCACCAGCAACGCTGCCGCCGTGACCATTCGGACTTGGACCGCGTGATCGCCTCCCATTCCGTACCAACTCTGAGTTTCTCTCAGCCAGGACCATTTTGTCTCGAATCAGTTTAACTCGGTTTTGTTTCTCCAGTTTTAAGCTTTTCCAGTTCTAGCTGCGCTGTTTCACGCAATTAACAAAATATACTAGGCAACTCAATTGAAATCTATAAACATATGTAAATAAAATAGAAGATCAAGTAAACATTTCCTCTTTAATTTTCACTCATTGAAATTTGCAAATTGAACTGAATTGAGAAGTCTTTCAACATAGAGCTGAGAAAGTGAATAAGAAGCAAACAAACGATGCGACAAAAAGTCCATTCAGCACAATGGTCGAGAGTCAGTAACCACTTGCACAGCGCACTTATAAACGACCGTAGATCGTAAATTCCGCAAATGTGGTGGAACAAAATCATCGAACAGCCAGTTACCCAGCTGAGCGTTTTTTACACCTTTAATAATTTGGATATTTCACTTCTCTGCTATTCAGTACATTATAATTACACAAATTTTTAGTTATTACCTTTTTATTCCCTTATCGTTCCAACGGAGATTTTCTCAGCCAGTCACTACACAGTCTCAATTTAAACTAAGCTAGATACTTCTCAACACCAGGAATTCGTTGCGAGTTTTTGATATTACTTCGTTAGATCTTATACCAGCTCGAATAGTATTATCTAAGGTAGTTACAGAAAATTATTTAAATTTAAAAAGGCGAGAGCGTCCGATGTGCCAACTGCTGCAGCCTCGCTTCTAGCCACAATCACAATGAATGGGCAGGTAAAACTCTCAGCCGCTGTATTGTAAGCACTCCGCTGAATTCACAGCTTACTTTAAAAAACGACCGTAGTGAATGTGTACGTAACTTTAGCCAACAAAAAGAGCCCAAGACATGTACATAGTAAAGGATTGTTTTAACACACTCTTTTTGAAGTATACTTCAATAAAAAAGAAATTTAAAAGTAATAAAAATCGTATTGAATGGCATATTTTGAATTTACGATAAAGGGGAAGAGCATGTCCACTTCAAAAGGCCAATCTTCTCATTCAGCACCACACGCTGTGTTTCGTGAGCTGATTGCCGAACAAAAGGTCTGTTCGATGAGTGCACTAAAAGTATCAAAAAGTGCAGTGCGGCACACCATCTGACATTTAGGCCCAATTTCAGATGACCCATTTAAGTAGAGATTGTTGATTAACTTCCACTATTCATTTTCAGATCATACATTTAATCTGCACTTAAATAGCAAATATTGGCTATTTAAATATCGTCGGCTGGGTAAAAGATTGTCGTAAGCGCCATTTTGACGATTTTTAGTTCTATATTCAGTTATTTATTTTGAAATAAGGTCCTGGGAAAATTTTCCAATACGGAACCCGGCTTTAAAAAAAAACAAAAATGAAGGGGTTTAGAGCGGCTTTTTATGATTGTAAATCTGGAAACCCCACCCTCCGGAGGCTTATAGTTTTTATGAAAATTTAATTTTAAGTTGCAAAAAATGTCAACTTCAACCTCACTTCCTGCTTTGTAAACCAATTGAACTAAAATGTCCGTGCTGCCACACAACAAAAAATGGCCAAAACAAAAAAAGCACTGAAAACGAGAAACAATAAAAACGGGCATTGTAATTAATTTTTTTTAATTAAATATCGATGTATTGATAAAAAAAAGTGAATCAGTCTAAAATTTAGAGATTTTGTAATAAAAATGTTAACTTAGTTATTTATGCAAGTATTGATTTTTATGGTAAAATCGCGCGATTTTTTATTACAAATGTTCACTATTTATCAAAGTATTGATTTTTATGGAAAAAGCGCGCGATTTTTTATTAAAAATTTTCATTATTTATGAAATTATCGATGTATGTTTTCTACATTTGTGTACTTTGAACTACAATAACACCAGTAAATATTATTTCCCCTCGAAAAAAATTATACCGTTATGATCAGAAGTAAGATCGATCCTAATATTATTATTTTTAATAAGAGCCATGTACGTATTGTACACTTATACTCCCTAATTATACGCACTTATTTGTGGTGTATTTTTTTTAACGTATGGTGGTTAATTCCAAAACGTCAAAATACAAAGCATTGGTCTCTTTTATTTCTAAACCGCACTAGAAGAAAACATCTAACTTGCGCAACCTAGTTGTAAACTAGCATCAAACCGTGGTTGCGCACATTTGACATTACAACCTACTGGGGTTTGGAAGTAAAAGAGACTGATGCTTGTATTTTGACGTTTTGGAAAGCAGCNACATTACAACCTACTGGGGTTTGGAAGTAAAAGAGACTGATGCTTGTATTATGACGTTTTGGAAAGCAGNCCGTGGTTGCGCACATTTGACATTACAACCTACTGGGGTTTGGAAGTAAAAGAGACTGATGCTTGTATTTTGACGTTTTGGAAAGCAGCCATACATTTTGTGTTACTGTCAGCCATTGTTATTTCTGCTTGTTTGTGAAATGTGCAAACGTTCGTGAATACATTTATAAACGCGTTTTACTTAATTAATTAATTAATAATTGTATATTAAAGTATTACAAACCCATGCGAACCTTTTAAGGATAATATATTTATGTAAATAAAAGTGATAGGTGTGGGGTTATAATAAAATGTGGTGATAGCAGGCGGGATATTTTAACAACAAATAACTTAAGTACTATTAGCAACAATATTGTGAAAGTGAGAAATATATTTGAAGGAGACCTCCATTAGTATCCCCACCGAGTTTCATAAAAAAATTCGGTATACTTTGCACGGAATAGCAATTGGTTCCGTAATGGAAATCTCAGCCAAGGTCTTTCGATTGGTGTTATCTGTTTTTAGATATCTCCTTTAGATTCCGAANTCTAGTTAGTGATGCAGTCATATTAAACTAATCAATATCTTACAAATGGCGTTCTCCATTTTTGGATATCTCCTTTAGTTTCCGTGATATTGAGTAAATAGTGTCGTTAATTTAGTAGAAATTTTGTCGTATTAAGTGGCTGCCAAATTGTGGACAAATGACGCTTACGACAAAATTTTACTGAAGAAAATCCTTCATAAACTCAAAACTTATTAACAATAAACATTAAAAATTGAATAATTTAAGAATTTTGTGACCTAGTAACATTTTCAGAGACTTTGGAGAAAATCTATCTTCGCGTTTTTGAGAAATTGCATTCCAAACTGCAATCGCGATTTCTCACAACCGGTCGAAATTAACATACGACAATCTTTTACCCAGGCGACGATATGACATATGCAACCCTGTGTTTGTACCAAACAACCAAGATTGATTGGTAGGTTGTTTAATCAATCCCACCAAAAGATAATCAGCGGTTCAGCACAAAATGTAAACAAACAAGCAAATGCAACAACAATTTCAAGGAACAAGCAGCAGCGCTGTCAATTGTTTGGCATATTCAAACAAAGTTGATCTGAAACCCAACGAAAGTTAAGTGGCATTTAAACAACAATACACAATTAAACTTAAGTGCCATTTAAATATTCATTTGAAATTGGCCCTTATATTACATTTACATTGAGCCCAAATGCGTCATTTGGGCGAGAAATCTGAAATGCGAAGTGAAATCAGGCATTTTTCCATACAAATTCGCATTTCCAAAATGAAGCATTTCAACGCATTTAATCAAAATTACGAAGCAAATGCGTTCCAAAAGCTCTTGTTTGTTTTTGACATTTTGCGTTTTTCAAATCAAAACAAACTCAACGTAATAAATAAATCTTTGATATTTGTGTATAAAAATTGTTAATTTACGCATAAATTCGCACAATTTTAGTTAATTCAAATAATAATTGCCTCTTAAGTTTCCAAAACGTGTTAAAAAATATAAGGCGTGCAGTGTTTGCTTACATTCATTTTGTTTTTCTTTTCCGTTTTCAATTGATGAGAAGTCAAACGAAATGCGAATCAAGCAGTGTAAACGCCTTTAAATGACTGATTTCAAATCACGCATTTGGGTCCAATGCACGATTGAGAGAAATAGAGATTGCGCCAATCGCGGTACCGCTAATCCGCTCTTTGTGATTTTGACAGAATCAGCTGTGTGCGTGACGTCATCTTGGTGCAATTGTTGATTGTGAGTATACGAAAAAACCAAATAACAATTTTAATATTTGT